AGCCTCACCCAAACACGATAGCTCTTTTTGTGTGAGCCGCTTATAGAATAGATCCACACCGAAGATGGTAAATATTGCCAAAGGAAGTCGAGTATCTAAAAACAAAGAGCCAACCGAGTGTTGCTTTAATAAAAAATACTTATAAATAGTTTGGTAGATCTTCGAATGATAAAATCTATTGCCATATTCCATATGAAAGTGTAATAATGTTCGGCTTGCACTGAAAAGACAGATGGATGAACTCCTCCTCCTCCAGCTATGTAGTTTCATAATTCACTTGAATACTAGTATTTTTTTGCAGTCAATTTCTATATTTGCATGTGCATTAAATGCATTCTAATCGCCTTCTGACCTTCATGACACTCGCAATCAATGGAAAAATGTTGCGTTTATATATAGTGTAATCTATATACACATACCCCTAGTTATACCCGCACTCGTAAGTGCATTTGTCTGAATGTTAGTCTGGATGCCGGTATATACATTGGGATTAACTAATCAATTTCCTGCTTGCAAAAAAGCTCTATTTATTGAGATCTATTTTGAAATAAACAATCAACAGATTCCCCCATGGAAGTCTCGGGAAAATGGGTTACTATTATTCATTATTTTCAATGTCCGCAAAGCGCTAAAAAGCATGGAATATTTTATAATAAATTTATGGGGGAATAAATCCTGATAACTGCTAGTTTTATTTCGAGTTTAACCAGCTATGGAATGATAAGAAATAAAGAGAGGGAATGATATCAGATAGAATCAGTCTCTCTACATGAATATAATCTCTTTATTAATCCATTCGACTGCATCTGCATCTCATGCATAAAAACTTCAGATGTGCAGGAAGCATATCAGTCACTGACAGATGTCTCTTTCTCTCAATCTCTTTTACCATAGGCATCTAATATTCATTTTTTTTTCTGCCCACAATCGACTCCCTTAAACCCCATTCATAAATGCGACTCAGATTGAACCTTGAACGATGAACATGGATGTCTTGCAGTCTTCATAATCAATAATTTTGAGATGTATTCGTAACCAAGGGGATAGTTGCATTGAATCTACACCGAAAAACATGCGAACACCAAATGATAACGTCCGAGTGGAGAGGTGTAGGGTAATATGTATTTCAAATGCATTTACATGGAATCATCTTCGAACAGAAGTAGCTGTTATCTGTAGCTGTGTGAGTTTTCTTTTGGATTGAGAGTGTGTTGCTGGTTCCGCACACTTTACAATTACAAATCTATTTATAAACAATTTATGACGCATATCAAAGCTGGCAATAAACCTAACACGACGGCGGCGAACGGGCACAAAAGGCAAAACTAAAACTGCATTGATAAGGCAAAATAAGTAATATGTATGTCAAAAATTAATACAAAATTGATTAAAGGGCAGACTGTACATAAGGAGGAGAGCAGGAGAGAGACTTGATTGATTATTTTCTTTACCTGCCATTTCTATCTTTTAAAGGGTTCCCTATCTGACGTCGCAGCCGTGGTATGATAAGAACGATACGGATTTGAATAATGAGCGTGCCCAGAAGGCCTACACCGCCATGCTGACCGTCACCCCCAAGCAGCCCAACGACAATGAGTACACGCGCGTCTCCAATGAGGTGAGTGGGTGAAAGGGGTGGGTGAGGGATAGTCCATGGATATTTGCATGGAAATGGATGTGCCAGCCAATTTGAAAATTTTTACCAGATTTCTTTTGTTGCGCTTTTGTAGTCACTTCCATTTTTTTTTTTTGCTGTTGCTTTCATCTGCTATCCGTTGAAGGCATTCCTCGCTTTTTGGGCCAGCCTCAGCCTCATGCATACTCAATGCCCGTGCACGTTCCCGCTCTTACTCGGCCACAGCCTATTTTGCATAGGATCCTGCAGTGGAGCTGGAGCAGGGCGCGGCAGCAGAGAGGAATCGTAAATATTTTTCTGTTGATACATGGTAAATTTACAACAAACAGAGCCCCTCCGACAACACCTGGAGAGCATTTGTTGGCCCAACTTTACACTGAAGTGCACTCGTAAAAAGCCAAACCCACAGAGTCCTCTCAGAGCCAGACCAAAGGAAAGCAAATGAAAATGGGGCTGCTGCTGCTGCTGCACTTGCTGATAAGCAGCAAGTCAGAGAGCAGGACACTTGCCTGTAGATACACGTGCTTAGTCCTTAGAGACACACAAAAAAACACACACGTAAGAGCTGAGAGCTGGGAGCCGCCTGGCCTAATGAGCTGCCATCGTTGACAGAGCACTGAGCTCTGCTCCTCTGGCCACATTTTCCATCAATACTTGCCGAGAAGAGAGAGATATAGTCTTTAAACTTAAGCCTCTGTTTCTCTCAGAAAGTTATTGCAGTACTTTCTTGGCATGTTTTCCGTTCCGCTCAACCGCAAGTTTGCCAGCCAAATCCCTGTCAAAGTAGAAGGCCAAAACTAAATTCCGCCAATGGCACAACCTGGCAGACGTTCTGAAATAATTTCCACACAGATTGGGACAAAAAGTCAGCCATTGCGACGTAGCAGTCGCAATCCCTTGCAATTTCCAAGCGAGCGAACGCTTAATTGAATTTTCACGAAGGAGCTGGTGGCAGCCAAAGCAATTAAAGCAGCCACAAACAACAATTGATGGGGATGCCCTTTGGCTAGGGGGATAACAGAGAGAATTAATGCGTTTTTGGGCTGCGATTTGCCCATTTTACAGATCAAAGCCATTGCAGCGGACAAATACAATTACACGTTCAGCGACAACGAGCCGATTTCGGCATTTGTCACGTCCTTCTTCGATGGGGTCCTGCTCTATGCGAACGCCCTGAATGACAGCATCCGGGAGGATCCCAGCATGCTGACACGCCCTATCAATGGCACGGATATGGTGAGACGCATGTGGAATCGCAGCTTCACGGGCATCACCGGCAACGTGACCATCGATGCCAATGGAGATCGTCTGTCGGCCTACTCCCTGCTCGATATGAATCCGAATACGGGTCGCTTTGAGATTGTCGCTCACTTTCTGCACAACCGCCTGGAGTTCGAGTCGAATAAGGAGATCCACTGGGCGGGGGATCGAGAGGATGCGCCATCGGATCGTCCCAGCTGTGGCTATGATGGCGCTCTGTGTCCCGATAATTGTGAGTAGATTTAAGCCATATAACACCTGAATCCTCCATTCATTTGCGATGACTCTTTCAGCTCTTCCTGGCTATGCAATACTCTCGATAGTGCTGGGCAGCATGGTGATCATCATGGCCGTGTGCTTTTTCTTTGGCTATCGCCACTACATCGCTGAGGCGGAGATCAATTCGATGAGCTGGAAAGTCTCTTTGGAGGATGTAATGTTCCGAGATGCCGCCGAGCGGGGACTGCGCGGATCCTTCCACTCGCTGGTGAAGCAGAGCTCCCAACTGACGCTGATGTCCGAGGATATGGTGTCGATAAATGGGGATCGCCAGATCTTCATACCCGTGGGCATGTTCCGCAAGAGCAAGGTGGCCATCAAACCCATCGAAGTGGACAATGTGCAGGCGCTGCTCACGCGCAACCTCATGCTGCAGCTGAAGCGAATGAAGGACCTGCAGCACGATCATTTGGTGAAGTTCTATGGCGCCTGCCTGGACCAGAGACGCAGCTTCCTACTCACCGAATACTGCCCAAAGGGCTCGCTGCAGGACATTCTGGAGAACGAGCAATTCCAGCTGGACTGGATGTTCAAGCTGTCCCTCATGCACGACATCGTCCGAGGCATGCAGTTCCTCCATAGCTCCGACATTCGCTCACACGGCAATCTCAAGTCCTCCAACTGCGTGGTGGACTCTCGCTTCGTCCTGAAGATCACCGACTTTGGCCTGCACACACTGCGACGTTCGCGCTACGACCTGGAGAGCGATGGAGGCATTTGCAACAGCCACGCCTACTGGAGCAGTACGTAACCGCAACGCAACCCCCTCTCAACCCCCAGCAAATTTCTCACTCTCACAATTGCAGACCTCCTGTGGACAGCGCCTGAGCTGTTGAGACTCGAGCACCAACGTGCCCCCGAGGGCACACAGAAGGGCGATGTCTATGCCTTTGGCGTCATTGTGCACGAGATAACCACACGACAGGGCCCCTTCTTTCTCGGCAAGTGTGCGTATGAGAAATCGCCACAAGGTACGTTACGTATGCCATGAAATTGTTTCTTCTGCCTCGCTACTGCCCCTCCTGTGTATCCCTGCCACTGTCCATTGTCCGGGGTTAAGTATTTCTCTTTCCTTGTTCGTGTTGCGGCTGATTTTGCTTGTGTGGAATTTTAATGCCAGATTTTTGCACATGTTGCGGTTGGTTCGTGGCTTACTGCTGGATTGTTGCATGTGGCTGTGGGTGGGTGGGCTAGAGGCATTTGTGCCGGTCTTCGGCTTTGTCCACAAATTAGCACATGAATGTCCTGTCTGGCCTGGCAAATCTCTGACAGTGCAGTCGGAACACTATCAGTCAATTGATGGTTTGCCTCGGGCTTGACTTGTGATATCACTGATTGTGTTTAAAGTGATTTAAAGCTTATGAATATATCTGATCTCCCATAAGTGGCACAGCAATATGATTTAGGAAGAAGAATTTGATTGAACCTCAACCATTGGCTTATTCCATGGAATCCCTAAGTGGATTAGAGGCGTTAGGAAATCGATTGAACTAAAAGTAGGACTGACTGTACGCTACTTTATCCATCTGCCAGTCTCACCACCAACTTGCTTCCCAACAAAATTCATTGAATGCCTAACAGAGCAGAGCCTAAAGCCAACTCGCAACTCAGAACTCGCACCGATTTCGAATGGCGCTCAAAACTTTGTCTACAACTTGCCACAGGGAGAGCAACAGAAAGGGACCACTCGTGGCAACCACTTGACAAATTCATCAAATTATGCACTGACTTTAGTTTGGGAATCAAGCGGCGTCCCCTCCTGCCATTTGCCCGCCACAGAATGGAACTTTTGCAGACAGTTTGTGGAGAGTTCAGAGTTCGGATGTGCCTGGAGACGACGAATTTAATTGCGGTCTCAGCACACACACTCGAAATCGAAATCAGATTGCACGGCTGACCCAAAAAGTTGTCGACGGGCTGCTGCTGCTGCTGCTGCTCCTCCCTGTTGAAGATGGAACACAAATCACGAACTCGTCTCGCGGCGGCAGTAGGGCACGTCCAGGCTGTCCGTGTCGGAATCGAAGCCCAGGCCGCAGCTGTGACGCAGCCAGGACCAGCAGCATGCCTGATGCCGCCTGCTCTTGTTCCTGATTTTGCTCCTGCCACTGCTGTCAGTACTCGTGCGGCTTCTACTCTTGGCCAGGTCGAGAGAACCGAGAACCGGCTCTAGCCAGGCTTGATTCAGCTTTTGCTGTCGCTCCAGCTGCCACAGCCATTCGATGCGTGATCTGCCCCAGCCACAGTGGGGCTCTGGCGTCGATTTGTCGCAGCGGCCAAAGACCACATCGGCATCGGTTGGTTCGGGCTGCGTTTTGTTGTCCATGCCACCGACACGTCTGAGTACAGACGGGGGCAGCCGCCTTGACCGGGACACGGACATCATTAGACCCATTATTTGGTACTCCGATTGCAGGTCCTCTTCGCTGTAGATGGACCGCATCACGTCCTCCTGATGAAACCAGTTGGGATTCATACTGTAGGTTAACCAATTGGGCGACTTGCCCGGCAGAAGATCTGGACAAATCAATTGCAAATAGCGGTCCTTGGAGCACATGTCTGTGTGTGTGTGTTCCTGGATTAGTAGCAGGTGAAACAGCTCCCCAGCCAGAGCAGGACACAAAATGACATTTGACACTAACAATTTACATAGTTGGGGGCTCAGGGAGCAGTCGAAACTTTAATGGAAAAAACTCCCACCCGAATGAAGTCTAACCCAAGGCCACTCCTTTTCTTTCCTTTCATTCCATTCCTTCACAGAGATCATTGAGCTGGTGAAGAGCTACCATCCGCAGCGTATGCAGAAGCCATTCCGTCCCGATCTCGAACCCTTTGGCGACACCAAGGCCGACATTAATGGCATCATTCGACGCTGCTGGGCCGAGGATCCGGCCGAGAGGCCAGACTTCAATACTCTCAAGTCGATGATACGAAAGTTTAACAAGTGAGTGGAACCACAGAGAGTTTATACTCAGATCTCTGGATAATTGTTTCCCCTTCTCCTTTCCAGGGACAATGAAACTGGCAACATTGTGGACAATCTGCTGAAGCGCATGGAGCTGTATGCCAATAATCTGGAGGAGCTCGTGGAGGAGCGCACCCAGGACTACCACGAGGAGAAGAAGAAATGCGAGAAGCTGCTGTATCAGCTGCTGCCGCAGAGTGTGGCCGCTCAGCTAATCAGCGGGCAGCCCGTGGTGGCCGAGACCTTTGACCAGGTGACAATATACTTCAGTGACATTGTGGGCTTCACGGCCATCTCGGCGGAGAGCACACCCATGCAGGTGGTGCAGTTCCTCAACGATCTGTACACGTGCTTCGACTCGATTGTGGAGAACTTCGATGTGTACAAGGTGGAGACGATCGGCGATGCGTATATGGTGGTCTCCGGCCTGCCCATTCGCAATGGGAATCAGCATGCGAGGGAGATTGCCCGCCTGGCTCTGGCCCTCCTGGAGGCAGTGCACAACTTCAGGATCCACCATCGGCCGGAGGATCGGCTCAAGCTGAGGATCGGCCTGCATACGGGCGCCTGCGTGGCCGGCGTGGTGGGCCTGAAGATGCCCCGCTACTGCCTCTTCGGGGACACCGTGAACACGGCCTCTCGCATGGAGTCCAATGGGGAGGCCCTGAAGATCCACATCAGCGAGACCACGAAGGTGGCTCTGGACGAGTTCGGCACCTTTGTGACGACCCGCCGCGGCTTTGTGCCCATGAAGGGCAAGGGCGAGATGCTCACCTACTGGCTGGAGGGGGAGGTACCCAAGCCGAATGACCCCCTCTCGCCCAGCAAACTCATGCTCTCGCGGCGATCCTCCCTCAAGCAGCCGCAGCGCCAGACCCACTCACTCCACAAACAATACTCAGAGCTGGCTGTGGTGGCGCCACCACAGCTGCCACCTGCCGCCGTGCCGATCATTGCGCTGCCGCCGCCAAAGGAGCACTCACCCAATCTCCGGGTTAAGCGCAAGATCAGCTCCAGCTCGCCCAAGCTCAATGGCAGCAGCTTCGACTACCAAAAGACTGAGAACAACTACTATCTGGATGCGGAGGCCACCCAGAAGCCGTGCGACATTTACAGTAGCCGCTCCTTGCGCGACATGGAGGAGGCCAGCGACAGCTGGGAGCTGGCCCACTTCCGGCTGCCCTTGAGCGGAGCCCTGAAGAACCACAACAACAACCACGGCCATGTCCAATCGAATTCGAACTCCAATCTGAGCGGCATCCTGCAGCCGCCGCCGCCGTCCGGCCGCAGCCGGCTGAAGCCTTCGCCCACGATCTCAACGCTGCTGACTAGCAGTCGCAGCGAAGCCAACGCCTCTGGCTTGGACACGGGCAGCCTGGGCAGCGCCCAGAGGATCAAGTTTGCCGATGGCGATGAGACCTCATTGCTAATCGAAAAGCAGAAGGGTTTGCAGATGCAACCTTCGGCAGTGGTGAAACCTCTGGTGATGGGCAGCAGCCCCCAGCGGAGTGCGAGCAGCTGCAGCAGCCAGAACATTCCAACAGCCAACTTGGGCGCAGACACCCACCACTATGGCTACCTGGTGAAGAACTACAAGCAGCTGCTGTGCAAGCCGGTGACGACGGCCTCGAATAGCCACGGCCATGGATTGGACGAGTGTCCCCAGGTGGCGGGACGCGGTGCAGGCGCCGGCAGTGCCGTGACACAGCCCCTACTGGCCAAGATCAACTCGTAGTTGTAAGCGGGGGGAGAGTGCCCATGCCCGCCCAAACCGGAGGGTGTGGGTGTGTCTCCCCCATAGGGATCTACTCTACTCTACTCGTAATTATGCATATTATGTACATGTACTTGTTTGTGATAATAAGTTAAACCCAAGTTGAACAACTTAGTTGGTAGCCATCGACATGGACCCCCCCCCCCCAGACCCCCTCCCCCTATAGTCGATGGAGGAGATTAGTGAGATGAAAATCAAATTCGAAATTTGTATGAGACTCTGCGAAAGAAAGTGTTTGCGTAGCTTTTAATCACCTATCCTTCCTTCCTTACTCGTAAGTAGCGAATTTTATCCCATATGTAACTCGTTGTAAATAGGATATTTACTCCCCCTCCCCCACGAAACCGATCTGTTCCTTGTGCTTTGAATATTCATTTCTCCAACTCAGAAGACAATTAGTTTAAACTGAATGTAATCTAGAATGTAGCGGTTAAGCGTAGACAAAATTGTGACATTTTTTTCGTATATATGTATGTAAAGTATTAGAGGATCATGAATATTTATTTGAAAAATTGACGAATAAAGAGGTTATACCTAAGAAATAGAAAGATTTATGTTGGATTTCTGTTGTAAATTAATGAACCACCCTGAGCAAGCATTTGAGAATTTGAGTTTAAATTTAATTTGGTATGCGTACGCCAAACGGTTATCAGTCGTTCCGGAAATGGTTATGGTGCTATGACATTAGACTTTGCTGAAATTTGCTGCGTATATATATAGGGATAGCATGAGAGACAAAATTTAACATTATTGTTCGTAGTCGTCTAATTACTTTCAGTCGAACAACTGAGGCACTACTGGAGACAAAATAATGTTTTGAAGCAAAACACAGCCACCAAGCCAGCAAAATTGATACTGAAAAGTACAGCAATTGACCATTAATACCCTAACCTATTGAAATATAATATTGAAATTGATACACTATCTTTCAAATAATATTATTCATAAACATCAACATTATTATTACATGAGTGCAGGGTATTAAATATACGAACACTTCAAGGATATTTAAAAGCCGAAGCGTAAATCTACGTAGCACAGTTATTCTTTATTCCGCTTGTTATTCCTTTTGCTTCACATCCGGATTTGTTGATAGAAAGAGAGAGGCGATAGAGTATTCAACGCATGCGAGGAGTAGCGAAGCTTGTGAAATTATCGCTTACTTTGTGGTTAGATATGTCGATTTAAAGATAACAAATGAAAATTTTAAAGTTTTTAAGCCTGTTTTAAACATGAAATGCATAAAAACTCTTTACTTAGATAGTAACGGTTATAGCGGAACGGATCTGCTCCAGTACTTAAATCCATACTGCAAGGATTTGAAACTGGAGGGAAGTCCGAGGGGCCAAGGTAAGAATTTTAAACTACTTCATACGAAAAGAATTTCCCCAAGTGCTTTAAATTTTTTTCAGAGCAAAGTATAGCATGTCAGTCATATAGTATGTCAGTTTACCCTCTTGAGCCACGAGTATGTAATGCGTGCGTGCGAGAAGGATGGAATGTTCGGGATTGTGAAACGACACGATCGGTAGACAGAAAACAACAAAAAGTTCAACTCCATTGTTGTTTTTGTTGCCAAGGGATGAGAGAACAATAGAAAAAAGGAATTGATTTGCAACGGAATAAAATATCTGCGAGAGATAGATGAAAATAAAGAAAAAGAAGATAAGACAATTGTGACTAGCTCCGTTAAACAAAGTTTTAAAATCCTATCGAAAAAGAGAGTATATGTACTCTGAAAACAAGTTTTGGAATAATTACATGTGGAAAAATGTATCATTATTGATCCATTTGATGGTTGGAAGTGCCTGTTTTAAAAACAAGAATTTTAAAACAATTTGAATATCCCATTAAATTCAATGGACAGCTCCGGTTGTACAGCTGTTAAATTAGAGGGGCGTTTATTGGGTTAAGTTCGTTTGTTTGCTCGGTATATTTATGGTATATTCTAAAATCGAGGAATATCTTGTCGTGTCCGTCAGTATATTTACGGTATCTTATGAAAAAGATAAGGTGTATATATATTTAATCAAGTTCCAATTTATTTTTCAATATATTAAGATAATTTTCAAAATGACCGCCAAACTCATTTAGCGCGACATGTTCTTAACGGGAACGCGTATGGAATGAAGATTCATTGCTGCGACGTTCCTACGCGTTCCCGTAAGATGCATTTGATTTGTATGGGAAAAATTTCAGCAGCATGGGGAAATGAATTGGCAGCATTGTTCTGCAACTTTGGCACGAATACCTTGGGAAAAACGGATATTATGGACTTGAGATATTGTTTGTTATATCAGGCACCAATTAATGCAGAAACTACTCAGTCTCTGTTTTAAAGAGATTAACGAAATTTTGTGGCTTATGGGTACCAATAATAGGTATCAGAACCGGGATAAATGTATTTAAAAAGCACAAAAACATACGTACAGATAGGTAAAAAAAAACTCAATCTAAAAGAAATGCAATATTAATGTTACAAAGAAGCCTGAAACAACAAATTAAACATCAATTAAAGGAAATAAGGTATAGAAAAACCCATACGCATAGAAGAAACTTTGTTGACCAGCAACACTGACGTCACATTTAGTCAACATTTACGTTTTATGCTTTGGCCGTTTTTGTTTGAACCCTATTATCTAAACAATCCCATTAAAAATAGTTCTGAAAACTAGCCAATCCTAAACAATATTCATTGAGAAATTGGATAAAATTATTTGTTTAGAGCTGAGAGGGCCAACTATCTAGTAATATTAAACTGAATATCAAAATAGACGAATTTCATATCACAAAATATCATGGTATGGCAGCCCGCTGCAACTACGAATTGCACGAGTCTGACAACGCCACAAAACGACGTCACATTCGTTTTATGTTGTTTTTGTTTGAACCTTAAAGTGTAAATAATCCAATAAAAAGGACTTCGGAAAACTTGCCATTCTTGTAGAAAATTTATGTATCTATCGGATAAAACTATTTGTTTAGGGCTGAGAGTCCCAGCTAGCTAGTAATATTAAACGGAATATCAAAATCGAGGAATATCAACTTTGAAAGTTTTGAAAAAACAATCGATACTATCGTGATAGTATCGGGTTCAAATAATTATTAAAAAACCATTAAAGCCTTTTAGGAACATGTCCATTGTCAAAATTAGATGCCACCTGTCAATTTGTTCTCAAATGTGTCCTCGTATTTTATAGCAGCCAATCCAAAAATATCAAAAGCGCAACGACTGTAGCTCGATACTATCATGATCGTCGCAAAACCGTCGATAGTAGAGGCGAGCAGTAAAATATCGATACTATCGATAGTGCCCTCGATGGTTTGACACCTCTAGCTTGTGTTGTTTTGATTTAAGCCCGGAGTTTACGCGTTTCTCGCCCTTTCTGTCTGTTAATTAAGCTATCAGACTATTTAGCATTGATTATATAGCCTATACTAGTGTGTGGCGTCAATAGCGGGTAAGCAGATAATGACGTACAGGCGTCCCAGACAGCATGCGCAACATTGCATAATTTTACATAGCCAATGGGTTGAATGAATTGCAAGTTTCCATTGATTGAATATCAGCATATCAAGCTGCTGCTCCCCCGTGAAGTGAACTTTGGTGCCGTGCTGGAAAGAGTAGGGGTGCTAATAGTAGAACATTCGACACCCTTCTTTTGCGCGCACCCATCTCCCCGTGTGCAGTGTCATAGAGGCAAATGTGATTCCCGTTTGGTGCCGCTTCGGCGACTGATAATTTCGGAGATTAATTGTGAAACAGCCGCCCCCATAGAAGTATTCAGTCATTGCTTGCGCTTGATTTTATCTAAACGTTGGACGTGCTCTACTATCAGGAGCTTATCATAGTAGCTGCCTGGTTGTTGTTGTGTGTCAAATGAGTAAATAGTTTAACCGTTTACAGGCAAAATGTTGTACTGCCCGCCGAATGTGACGCTCAGCGAAGTGTGGACCAATCATGGCATCTCCCACTGCTTCATGGACACCGTGGGTCCGTCTGTTTACGGCGGATTTTTACTGCTCTTTGGCTGCATCCAGCTGCTGATGTACCGAAAGTATGCCACACGCATCACGGATCCCACACAGATCTCCAAGTCGCGGCTATATGCCTTACAATTGTTTCTGCTGTTCCTGTTGCCCGTGCTGGCTGTGATGCGTTTCTTCTTGAATGCTCGCATCTATACTGACAGTGCTGTTTATGGCTATATGGTGAGTAGATTGCGCTCTCTGTCGCTCAGGAAACGATTTGACGACCTCTTTTTGACCTTCCCTTAGATCTATTCGACTGCTGTGGTGTGCTTTGCATATCCATTTTGCATCTGTCTGATACTCAAGGAGCGTTTCTATCAACTCCCATCGGTGCCAACGCGTGGGCATGGACTTATACTGCTGCTATTTTGGACCCTGGCTTTCATCAATGAGTCGCTGGCTTTTATTAACCTGCGACACGAGGATTGGTGGTTCAATCTTAAGAGGTAGCCAGAAATTCCCCCCGCATAATTCTATAAATTACTTGAAATTTCTGTTGCCCTTGCAGCAACAAGGACCAAATCGAAATGGGCCTCTTTGTGACGCGCTTTCTCTGCTCGCTGCTGATCTTTGTACTGGGTCTGAAAGCCCCTGGCATTATGGCGCCCTACCATCAGCGACTGGTGGACACTGACTCATCCAGCGAGTCGCAGGCAAACGCACAGACGGGTTCCGCTTTTAGAAATGGCTGGCGCAAGCTGCGCAAACTGTTTCCCTATCTGTGGCCCAAGAAGGATTTGGCACTGCAGATTGCCGTGTTCATATGCATCATGATGCTGCTTGCCGGACGCGTCATTAAATTGTTTTTGCCGATTTATCGCAAGAAGTTGGGTAGGTCATGGTTTCAATGAGGAATTTCCCAACGTCATTTGGCTAATCTCTCGCCTCGCATTGCCTCCTTTAGTGGACAGCCTGACCATCGAACCGATTATCTTCCGTTGGGACTTTGTGCTGATCTATGTGGCCCTGTCGTTCCTCCAAGGTGGCGGCACTGGCACCATGGGACTGTTCAACAATCTGCGCACCTTCCTCTGGATTCGTGTACAACAGTACACGACCCGTGAGATTGAGATCGAGCTGTTCCGTCATCTGCATCACTTATCGCTGCGATGGCACCTGCAGCGCAAGACGGGCGAGGTGCTGCGCGTTATGGATCGAGGCACTGACTCTATAAACAATCTGCTCAATTATATTGTGTTTTCCATAACGCCCACAATTTTGGATCTGCTGGTGGCTGTGGCCTTCTTCGTCTACGCCTTCAACTGGTGGTTCGGCTTGATTGTATTCCTCACAATGTTCTTGTATATAGGTATGAAATCTCACTCCTTCCATTGATTGGCTTCCTCTGATGTCTTCTCCTTGTAGCCTCCACAATTGCCATCACGGAATGGCGCACGAAATACCAAAGACGAATGAATATGGCAGACAATGAGCAGCGTGCACGCAGCGTGGACTCTTTGCTGAACTTTGAGACTGTTAAATACTACGGAGCGGAGAACTACGAAGTGGATTGCTATAGGGAGGCCATTCTCAAGTACCAGAAGGAGGAGTTCCTGTCGATGCTCACCCTCAACATGCTCAACACCGCACAGAACATAATACTCTGCCTGGGTCTGCTTGCCGGCTCGCTGCTTTGCGTGTATTTGGTGGTCCATCATCAGACCCTCACCGTGGGTGACTTTGTGCTGTTTTCCACCTACCTAATGGAGCTGTATATGCCTCTGAACTGGTTTGGCACCTACTACCGGGCCATCCAGAAGAACTTTGTTGACATGGAGAACATGTTTGAGCTGCTGCGCGAGGATGAGGAGATTATTGATGCGCCCGGATGTGCCCCACTGCTCACAGCAGGCGGTGGCATTGAGTTCTCAAACGTGACCTTTGGCTACACCCCAGAGAAGATTGTGCTGCGCAATGTGAACTTCACGGTGCCCGCCGGCAAGACAGTAGCAATTGTTGGCCCCTCGGGAGCTGGCAAGAGCACAATCATGCGATTGCTCTTCCGATTTTACGATGTGCAGACGGGAGCCATCACGATCGATGGCCAGAACATAAAACTCGTGCAGCAGCAGAGCCTGCGCAAGGCCATTGGTGTGGTGCCCCAGGACACGGTGCTGTTCAACAACACCATTTTCTACAACATCCAGTACGCCAAGTTGGGCGCCTCTGACGAGGCCGTCTATGAGGCGGCCCGTGCGGCCGACATTCACGAGAAGATTCTCAGCTTCCCCGACCACTACGAGACGAAAGTGGGCGAGCGCGGACTGCGCCTGAGTGGCGGCGAGAAGCAGCGGGTGGCCATTGCGCGGACCCTGCTCAAGTCACCCATCATTGTGCTGTTGGACGAGGCCACCTCCGCTTTGGACACGCACACGGAGCGCAACATCCAGGCGGCTTTGGCCCGAGTGTGCGCCAATCGAACGACAATTATTGTGGCGCATCGCCTGTCCACCGTCATCCATGCGGATGAGATTCTGGTGCTACAGGACGGCAGCATTGTGGAGCGTGGCAGGCACGAGCAGCTGGTCCAGCGTGACGATGGCATCTATGCGGACATGTGGCAGCAGCAGCTTAAAAATCTGGATGCAGAACAAAATGCCACGGACAATGTAGAGGCAGAGAATGCGGGCTCCGAGAAATCAAAGCCCGCACGTGATGCCAGCGGTGGTGCGGGTGCTGGTCCAAGTGGTGGTGCCCACTTTAGGGCAGGACATGCTCATGGTGGAGCACGTTAGTCTTAGCTTTAAGTAGTCTCATTTCTGTTATTCCTATATATCGCATGTGTGGTATTTTTGTTGTTATACGTATATGATGTATGAGAGCAATTTGTCGAAAGTCTTAGTTCTTTTATAAGTAATCTTATACTATGCTACTCTTAAAATAAATAACGTAGATTTTTATAGACCAAACCAACGACATAAAGATTGTTCTAGGATACATTTTAAGAGCATAATCATCTGTACATGCAAATTGGAAGAGAGAGAAAGAGAGCGGCTCTTCTGCTTATCAGCAATAACAGTGAACCTCCGGCAAGGCCAGCCTTGGCACTGAAGCTACGCTCTGAGCCTCAGTACGAGAGTGAAACGCGAGCTGAGCAGACGTGGAAATTTGCTATAAAGACAAGACGCGGCGACGTTCTGGTGATAAAGGAATAGCGTCGGCTTTCGTTCAAAACGAATCAGATAATACCCACCCATATAAATATATATATATATTACAAATATCCAGAGAGAAGGAGAGATTTGTGCAGAGTGTCAACTGTGAAAAGAAGTGGATCTGGCCATGAGGCGACTCAAGTGTTCCGTGTTTGTGTGTACGTTAAGTAACCTAATTGATAATCCCAAAATAAGAGAGAAAAAAAAACTATATCAGAAATTAATTCAAGAACATGACGTAATGTTTCATTGAAGAAGCTGAGGAATAACATTGATTAAAAGCGTTTCGCGATCGTCCATATATACGTACGAGTACTCGTATAAATCATCAGCATATAGCTGTATGCTATATGTACATATATGTACATGGGCATACAATGTATTGCATGGATGGCATATAAGAAACGAAATTCAATTGATAATTGAAGAGTTTATTGCCCATCCAAATGCAAGACAGAGAGCAAGCGAACATCTCGAATTGAATTTCAATTTACATACCTCCCTCCAATCTATCTATCTGTCAGATCTATTCCTGATCTTTGATGCCGGGCATGCCTTCAACATCATTGGCCTCAACAAGCAGATGCTCTACGAGTATGTCGGCAATGTGCTGGTGGGTGCCAAGCCCCAGGACGAGGGACATCCATCGCCACCCACGACAGGCTGGATTGTGCGGGGCAAGCTCACGTTGCAGCGGCAAAGTGATTTGGTCATGGCAGCAGCGGTGAGTATTTCCCCCGCATGGCAATGTTTTATTTGGTGATCCCAGAGGCGACCCCCAGACAAATGTTAATTAGAATTCCATGGGTTACAAAATAATAATTGCAAAAATATTATTGTTTATAAAATCAACGAACAAGGTCAGATTTTGATTGTGGTACGAGTACGAGTATATATAAGATTGTATTTTGGAATATTCTTATGGAAATTCCCACCTAAAATGTTCATAGGCATGAGTATATATGTATATGTATAAATCAATTGAAAATCAGTTAAAAATTCAATCAATTTATTGATTTCATTAACCATTTCAATCGTAGAATTCATTCAATCGAGCTGTCAGCTGAGAGGGGGGATTGGCATGGAGTGGCATTCCACACACTGTGCCATTCCCAGAGAAGTTCTCTGCAGACACAACAGAAGGCAGGCATTTGCAAAAGGAAAGGAAGAATTTTCGCAGATGAATTAAAAACAATTTAACCTTTCACAGAGACGACTCTCAAGGGAGAGAGGGAGTACACGGAGGAGAGATACACAATGATCTGAACTCGGGCTGTGAACTTCTTTCATTGTCGGAGATGCTGAGATGCTGCTGCCAATACATGCATTCAATTCTCAGTGTTCCCTTCCCTTACATATACCATACATATATATATGTATATATATCTGGCAGATCCGTGTATGTGTGTGTGTGTGTGTGTGTTGGTTCGTAATCAGTTCTGATTGTTTTGACTGGCGGCTGCTGCGCTAGGAGTAGGCCCTGCCTTCTTATCAGCGTCTCCGCCGCCATGCGTGTGTGGCATATGTAAAATGTTTGTTTTTTGTTTGTTAGATAAACCCTCCTGCCGCTACTCCCGCCACCATATTATCCCTGTCTATCTCGAGGGTATTTCCCCGATTAAAATTCACAATCTTTTGCAGCTGGTCATCGATGATGTAACGCTTAACAATTCGGGGGAGAAGTTCCTGCAGAACAAGGAGATGTATCCACCGTATAAACCGTTCAAGATTGTGCTCACCGAAAATGGCAGCATATCCCATGTGGTCTTCAAGGAGGGGGATCCCATATGGTCGATGAATTTCAAGCGTGCCATTGCCTCCGTTCTGCAGTTCCAAATGAAGTCCAGCGGGGCTTTTGTTTTGGATGAGGTAATATTTTTCCAATTATTGATTTAATTTAACTTCAATTAAATTAATTTCCTTGATAGCTTGGCATTCATGGCACCTGTCGGACAGAGTACTTTGTGTCCAACAAGACCAACTACATATCCATTAGGAAAACGCCCGAACTGAAGACCTGCACACCCTATTCGGAGGCTGTGCACATCACCAGGAGTAATGTGCCGCCAAACACGTGCGAATTTGATCACCAGAAGAGCGTGATCATCGGCAATGAGGCCATCTATGGGATGCTGCCGCACAACGAGACGGGCTACTTCCTGAGCATGGCCCATGCCAAGGGCACGACACTGATACACACCTTTGAGTCGACGGGCGAGGCGCAGTACATCAACTCCGAGCTGCTGTTGAACTTCCAGAACGAGACGCCCATCGATAATCCCATTGATATTGAGACCTCGATGGCTGCGGAACCATCCAGCCTGGAGCTGCAGCCGCTGGAGCCCAACGATCCGACAGGCGGACGCAATCCCCAGCAGCAGGAGACACTGATCGTCCAAGCAGCCGGACTGCTGGACAGCCTGGCCGAGGCCCTGGAGAGCACCGAGTTCAAGTTCGGTGAGCCCTACGACTCGACGCTGTCGGATGTGATCAAGCTGCTCAGCGAAGTGGACTTTGAGTCGCTGAAGAAACTCTACCGAGAGGTGGACATTGGCACCTCCTACCGCCAGGAGACCATCAGGAATATCTTCCACGAGATCATACCACGCATCGGCACCAAGGCCTCGGTCTTCCTGACCCACCATCTGATTGTGCGAAAGATGACAAAGCCGCAGATTGCCGTGCAGCTGCTCATACCCATGCCCTTTCACATATTCGAGCTGTCCGCGGAGCTGGTGCACGTGTGCGAGGACTTCCTGAAGATTGGACCCGATCGCCCGGACGTGCGACAGGCGGCGATCCTCAGTTTTGCCACGCTCGTGCACAATGTCTATGTGGCTCGGGGCATCGACAAGGATGAGTTCGAGGAGTATGTGCAGAAGTACTTCAATGCTTATTTGAGTGAGTGGCAAATCCTTCCTTCCGCCACTGATCTCTCCCACTGATCCCCTGTTCTGTTGCCTCCCCTTCCCAGATGATCGCGACTTTGAGCAGAAGATGCTGTACCTGCAGGGCCTGAACAATCTGCAGCTGGGCAATGTGGCCAACTACTTGGAGCCGATTGTTCAGGATCCCAATGAGAATGAGGATCTCAAGTTTATGGCTGCCTGGACGACACTGCCGCTGGCACCCAGCCGACCCGAACGCATCTACGAGATCTACTGGCCCATCTTTGAGTCGCGCAATGCCAGCCTGGAGCTGCGCGTGGCCGCTGTGACCCTGCTGCTGATCTCCAATCCCACGGCAGCGCGACTGATCAGTATCCATCGCATCATACAGAGCGAAACGGATCCGCATATGATCAACTATTACCGCACGACGGTCACCAGCATATCGGAGACCACGTATCCCTGCTACCAGCACCTGCAAGTGATCCCCTCGCTGCCAACTCTCAGTGCATCCCATTTGACTTTCTTTTTGCTTACTCCTCAGACGCCGCCTGCTGTCCTACATGCATCGCCATCTGCCGCAGAAGCCAGAGCCACGCTATTGGGTCACCGGCAACTACATCTTCGACTATCGCGACTCCAAGTTCGGCATTGGGGCCATGCTGCAGGTCTTTCTGGTGGGCGATCCCAAGTCCGACATGCCTGTGGTGGCTTTCTTCAAGTTTGACACGGAAGCCCTGGGTAAATTCACCGGACAACTGGCGGTGAGTGTACCCCCCAAAGAGTCTCTTCTACTGTCCTTAACCCTATGCCGTATTCTCCTTCAGTTGTACATCAAAGCGCGAGGACTGCCAGATGCCATACTGAGCACAATGCAGTCGAGGAACAGCAGCGATCCGTTCACCTACAAGAGCATCAAGAGTCTGCTGAGCATGCTGCAGGCACCGGCCATCCATTCGAAGAATCTGCATCTGGAGTTCATCCTGCAAATGGAGGGCAAGACGGTACTGTCGTATTTCCTCAATCAGCGCATGTTCACTCAGTTGACCTACGAGAATCGTAAGTGGCGGGACATCTCCCCTATCCCTCTTGACTCCTTATTTAATCAACACTTTGCTTGCCTTCAGTTCTGGAGCGACTGCAGCAGATCATTCGCACGGATAGCCACATCAACATGCAGACCGTACGCTGGCCCTTTATGAATCGCTATTCGGTGCCCACGGTGCTGGGCACTTCGTCGGATGTGCTGCTGCAGACAACGGTGCTGACATCGCTGCGCGGCAACATCACGGAGCAGCGCACACCGCCCATATCGAAGCATACGCTGGAGATCGATGCCAGGTACTCCTCGTATGCCTCTGTCCGGAGTCGCAGCTACAATCCGTTCCTGAATCTCGATCACGAGATAAACCGCGAGCAGGGCTTCCTCATCTATGTGCCGTTTAGCAATGAGCTGAACCTCAATATGAGTGGCAGTCCGTGCACTCGATACTCCTTCTCGCGGCCACAGAACCTCACTAGCGGCTTGTCCTTCAAGTCGCGGGCTGTGACCAAAACGCGGGGTCTCATCACCAAGACAGCCACAGCGCCCTTTGAGGAGATTATGCTGCCCGAGAGAAGCAACGATGTGGTATGTCCAGAGGGAGTCACCAAAGTAGCATGGATAAAGTTCTGTCTGAATGTTGCCTTTCAGTTTCAGTTCCTCACGTATACCATGCCGGATCTGGGCGTCCAACTGGCCATCAATACGAATCTCAATGAGCTGATCAAGTATCGTGGAATGCTGCTCAAATCAGAGTTTATAGAGAAGTAATTACTACAAGCAATGGAAAATAACTTTACCCCATTGATGTATCCTTCCTTCCTTCCTTCCTTCCAGCGGCTTCTCGCGCAACATGCTTGTCAGCCTGCTGATGTATGGCTTTGGCTTCACACAACTGAGTTCCATTCACCTGGGACACGATCGCAACTTTACGCTCTTGATGTACAATGAAAATGCCACCAAAGTAGGAAAACATTCTCCCCAAACTTAACCTCATATATGATTGATTAATCGATGAGTCTTTTTTAGCTGGAAGGCAGCTTCTGTGCGGACGATGTGCTGAAGACGGCAGACCTGAAAGGCAGACAGATTGCCCTGACGCTGCAGCACACGGACGAGACACAGAATTTGGATGCACTGCACAGCTGGAACATTACGCTGGATGTGCAGACATCGACCAAGTCCAGTTGGTTCAAGCTGATTGGACAGATACAGCGCAACTCCAAGGATGATGAGGAGGACTGGAAGGTGAGTGCTTACCGGACTATTATAATTATTTATTTAACCAAATATGATGATGCATTGTTGAGTGTATTTTTGTGGGGTTCCGCATTTCGTTTCGTTGCGTTTCGTGTGCGTACGTGAAGGGGGGGGAGGGGTCGGGGGATTGTGGGTATTATTGGAAAACATTTGTTTAACCCTCCTGTCCGGCTGTCTCAAGCTCCTCCTCGGCATTGATCAGGGCCACAATGCCATCCTGCAGCGACTTGACCAGCTCGAATTCGGTGAAGCCGAGACGACGTCTGTTCGATATGTCCATGACGCCATCCTCGATGGCTGTGTGCTCGCCGCCAGTGCCGCGTATCTGCAGCTGCAGCTCATCGGCCAGCGCGACCAAACGTTCACTGTCCTTGCTCAGCAGGGGCAGGCGAATGTGCACCGAGGCGCGCAGGGTGGTGCCCAGATTGGTGGGGCAGGCACTGAGGTAGCCATAGCGACTGCTGCGCGCAAAGGTCAGGGTCTTCTCGAGCTCCTGCAGGCCATTGACCAGACGATTGTACACATCGCCCAGGTCGCCGCACGGGGCCATTGAAATGATGCGCAAGTGATCCTCCTCGTTGACCCAGATCAGGAAGGTAGCGGCCGGATTGTGGTAGACACCACGGCCCGTGGGCCAGAAGCGATAGCAACCGGCGGTGGTCAGATAGACGTCACCGCGATGGAACATTATGTGACGCTTCACCATCTCCTGCTGGGTCTCCGCATCGATGTCGCCCAGTGTCAGATAGGAGCCGATGTGCTCCCCATCCATGGTCTCTGTGGCGGCACGCACCTTCTCCTCCACCTCGATGAACTGCTTCTCCGTCAGCTTGGGGAAGAACGGGAAGCCCTCAATGTTGCGAGCGATGCGTATGCGCGCCGAGATGATATATTTGCGCTCCGGATCGAGGTTCTCGATCTCATCCACATTGCCCCAGTCGGTGTCCTTCTGCAGCACATCCGACTCGTTGTCCTGCTGGGCATGATAGTCCTTGATAATCGGATCAAAGATCTTGCCGAACACCTCGTAGCTCTCGGGATCGGCGGCATAGATGCCCACCGACGAGTCGTGATGCTCAAAGCCCGAAACGGCGCAATCGTACAGATAGGCATCCACTGGCGGCGATGTCGTGACCAGCATGAACTCCTCCACCAGCTCCGGTGTGAGGTATTTTCGCAGCAGCGAATTAACATGCTCCTCATCGTCTGTGAGGGATTTGAAGCCAGCCAGTGTAAGCTCCTGGTACTCCTCTGGCGACTTTTTGCTGCAAAAGGGCAGTCAGTGGGATTCACATTGATTCTCCGCTTTAGTGGAACTTACATTTGACCACGCAGTCGCTCTAGCTCCTGCTCCAGGCGTGATATGTTTGTCTTGGCCTCCTCCAGGTCGTTCTTCATCAGATCGTACTGAGCATCGTCCGGGCAGCTCTCGCACATGAATTTGCGCACAAAGCGTATGGCATCCTCGGGCTTATTCTGCTCCTCATACAGCTTGATGAGGGCCTTGCTCAGGGCATCTATGACGCCAGCTCTCTCCAGATACTTGCGATATTGCACGCGTTTCGATTCAATCTGTTAATGGAAAGCACATCAGGATTCGGATTTCCTATTCTATCTATTCCGTGGTGCACTGTGCGCCGCTTACCGAAGTCATGATTGCAATTTATATTTTGCACAGCCAAAACCAAAATTTAAACAACAAACGCAAAAGGGAAATTGTCAAAAAAAAAATGTATATGGAAAAGTGGAAGTTTAAATTTAATTTTACAAAATTTTCTGTTTGGAAGAGAAATGCGTCCGAACTATAGCGTAGCTGTCTGCTTTCTGTTTAGGCTGAACGAACAAAAAAACTGGCTCCGTATTGATCAAACGTCGTACAAAGCACAGGACTACTGTGTTCGGGGTTCGGGCAGGCAGCCCCCGATTCCGTTTCCGAGCGCCAAACGTCAGTCAAATGTGGGCCAACATCTGTGGCAGGCAGACGGGGGCTAGCTTGCACTCGAGTGGCAAGCATTGTTGTGCTTCATACACGTATAATAAGGTGGCAGGCACGAACACAGCAGACAGGTACCCACAGATAGACAGACAACCAGGATGTGTGTGAGTGTGTGTAGGTAGAAGCCCGCTAATCGTTGCCACAGTTGTTGTGGGTTGTCGTTGCTTGTCTACCAGTTTGTCATGGTAATGTCTGCCCCACTACCCCACACACGAGTCTGTGCTGTGTCTGGCTGTGGCCTTATGCTGATGACCCACAGCGTAGCCAAATGGCCACACATACAGGGTGACAGCACTTGACTCGCTTCAGTGGCAGCCCACTTGGCTTGGAGTCTTGACTTACATTTTAATGGGATTCTCTTTGGATCTCTTTCTTACGCTCGCAGGCCTGCACCAAGTTGACCTATGAACCGCTGGTCTTTACCAAACGACCCCACACACTCAATGGCAATGTGGTGTTTGGCCTGGCCACCGAGGAGGGCGCCTGCCCCGAGAAGGGATCCACAGTGCAGTTTGCAGCACGTGCTGGGGTGAGTACATCCGTTGATTCCATGGGTGCCATGCAGATTGAACCCATTCCTTCCAATTGCAGCCCTCGGAGCATGCTCGAGCCTTTCTGCGTTCGGACAAGATCTCGCTAACGGACACCGACTTTTGTCCCAAAGAGGTGCTCAAGTTCTCGCCCATACCCACATCCAAGTACTGCAAGCGCAGCAATTTCGAGAACTTCACCTCGATAACGCAGTACGATATGGATCTGAAATTTAATAATGTAAGTGATGGAGAATATAATAGCAAAGAGAATACTCACCTATATGAATTCCTGCCCTTGCCGACAGATGCCTGCGTGGTTTGAGTTGTGGTCCAATAGATTGGATCATCTTGTCTCGGCATTGTCTGCCCACAAGGTGGACAGTTTGCACATGAGCCAGGAGATTAATATCACAATGCACACGCCCAACGACTACTTCTGGCTGACGGTGGAGGTGAACGGCGTCAATTGGCGCATCTACCATATACCCTTCCTGTACAAGCTGGACTCCAAATTCGATGCCTCGCACGAGCTGACCTATGACTCTGGACTGAAACGCTCCTGTTCGGTGATCAATGGGATGATCAACACCTTCGATGATTATCTGATCAATCTGGGGGAGATTGTCACGCAGCCGCAGTGTCTAACGCTGCTGGTGGCCGACTGTTCGCCGCTGCCACAGATGGCTGTGTTCCTTACGCCCTCGCCGGCCCATGGACTCGCGAGCAACTACGGACTGCGCATTCACATTGGGCGGAACTACTTCAATCTGCACTCGCGGACGGACAACAGCAGTCAGCCGAACGATGAGCCCGTGTTCATTTATGTCAATCAGGAACAGACGCCGCACGATGTGCGCCAGAAGCCCTACCAATGGCCCATCGAGGACAGTGACTACGATTTTCGGTTCGTTTTTGTACATCTTTGCGTTGATCCAATCCTTAATTCTTTCTCTTGCAGTGTGGAACTCAACGAACAAAATATTCTGATTGTCGAGTGCGCGCAGATAAGTGCCACCATCCAGTTTGATCTGTTCAACATCCTCAACTTTGAGATCTACGGCGTCTACAAGCATCAGATGTGTGGCTTGTGCAGCAAGCCACTGAATCGTATGCAAAACTATACGCTCTGCGAGCCAGAGACAATCAGTAGCACCAGTAGCAGCAGCAGCAGCAGCAGCAGCACTCCTCCAGCACCTCCACCACAGCATGAAAATTCCACCGAAAAAGTCTTAGTTGCATAAGCAAGAACTGTGTGTGTGTGTGTATGTGTGTGCGTGTCTAAACTAAAATAAAACCGAAAGAGTAGCCCCCTTGGGAGGAGCTTTGAATCCTATTTAACATCAATATTGTGCAGTTTTATAATTAACTTTTAATTGTTTAGGAACTGGATATAATAATATTCTTTGAACATTGGAAGATCGTTACTCCATCCGATAATCGAGGATTAAGTATTACAAAGATCAAAACTTAACACCGATGCTCCTCATATTTGGAGTGGCAAGATGGTCCATAATGTTGGGAGTTCTTCACATAATCATAATCATTTCATTCGCAACCTGTGCAGCAGGACTGTAATGGATATTCTTAGTAACTATTTTAGTTAATCCTCGGACCAGGATAACTATCTCAAGACCTTCGGACTCTATAAGTCTGTTGTAAAAAGTTATCAAATAAATTCTTTGATGTTTCTTATCGAAAGATACATTTTAAATCGAGATTTGAGTATTTGAAAAGAACTAATAACAATAAAAATCCATAGGATTAAAGATCAGCCATATTCATTTATGGAGATACCTTTAGAAACAAAACAAAAAATAACTTCTGCTGCATATAAAGTCATAATAGAATGGAGCCCCAAAATGAGCTCGCGTCAAATGTTTGGATAAATGTGAAACTTGTTGAGCCTTAATCCATGCGGAATCCGACCTGCTCCTCACGATCAAGATGCAGCTGGGTAAGCAGATGCATGCGAAGCTCTGGAACCGTTTCCAGTAACTGTTTGCACAGCCTGCAGGTCATCGGGTCGAAGGTGCCCTCACTGTAATAATACGAAATCAGATCATGTTAGATAAGCTTCCTCCAGGACGTCGGAGGAGACACTTACAAATTACGATAATTGTACAACTCCTTGCAGTTCTCAATCAGTGGCACAATACTGCCCATACTCTCTTCGCGCAGCTCCGGAATGGTGTGCATGGGGAATATGGAACGTTTTCCATACGGCTGACAGTCCGGAACCCGTGGCTCCTCCATCTTTAGCCACTCGTAGTCAGAGTTATGCGAACTGGACTCAATAAAGCTTCGATTCTTGTTCAAAAGCCTGTAAAAATGAACAACTCAGTACATAAAGTTGTCGTTAAGCACACATTGATTGTGAAACATACCGATTGAGTGCAGCATAAATTGTATTATATATTAAAATGCGTTCGGTAAGACCAGCAGATGGATACAAGTCGCCATCAAGGTTGAAGAATGTGCTGTCAATGTTGTAGCGGATTTGATTGATCTGAAAGGCAATTTTTGGGCATGAATATCGGAGATGGAGCGGCTCAGTTACAAATAAAAACTTACCAGCATAACATCATCATCGTCAATGTTGACATCCAAGTTTATAACCATGTCATGATCCTCGTAGAAGGATTGCATTGTTTGCGAGTGGCGCCCAAGTCCGGCCAATATCGAAACATATCGGCTGTTTGCCTTGTTGGCTTTAATCTGTGCACACGGGCAGAATATCATGGTCATAATTGCTGCGAAACCGGGTATGTTGGGCATTAAGCTGGTGCCGCGCAGATTCAAAATGCGACCGTTGGGCCCAGTTTCGTTCATGCTAGCGGCCACAATCATCTTGTCGTGCTGATCTTGCGGCTCGGCGTCCAGGAGCACGAAATTCACCGAAGTAGGATCCACCTTCACCGTCTTGCTGAGGCCCGAACGCATGGTGGAGTATAAGGTCGATTCTAGGGTGCTGAATGGACCCTTGAGCTTCAGCAGCTTTTTGCATTCCTCTGGCGGTGGCGGAGCCAAGTCCATATCCTGGGGCTGCTGCTTCGAGCGGAGATACTCTTCGTTCACCTGCTGCCTCTCTTGCGGTGTTATATAGCTGCGGGATTCCTGTTTGCGCATCCGAAAATCATGATCCATGCGGGACATGTAGTCCTCATCGGTGCGACGGGCCAATTTATCCTTAACCAACAGCTCGTTGAGGTATCCCTCCTGCAGGTGTATCTTGACCGCAGCCACGTTCTGTACCAGTGAGTATATCTCTAGTTGGACGCGTCCGCGTTTGGCCAGGGCATGCAGCATATCGTCAGCCTGCTGGGGCCAGGCATTATTTGTGCTGACCATCGACGACGGCTGCACCAGGGCCAGGCGACACTCAAACACGCGCGGCGGTAAATCGCTGTACTGCCGCAACAGTTCCGGGGACATTAGACGCAGCTGGTCCATCGGTAGCTTCTCAATATCTCCGTAGTCGATGAAGCGAACATAAAACAGCAAATTGTGACTGTTCAGGGTATCCACACGAATCACAGTGGCACGCTGGTACTCGCCCTGTCGCTTGGCCAGCAGCAGCAGCCCCTTGGTGATGCTGCCCGCATTTTTCACATGATTTTGCAGCTGCTCCGGATAATTGAAATGCTCGGACATGTTGACAATCCAGTTTGCAAAGGATTCGGGCTGGAAAAAGAACTTGCCACAGCTGACAATCTGCAGAAAATACAAGCAATAAGAGACAGTATCCAGCCTGGGAGTAACCCCACCCCACTCACATTTGTAATCTTTCCGACTATATTCTTGTCAAAGACAGACGGCAGGGCCAGAAGTTCCACGGCCACTGGCTTCGAGGGGGGTATCCAACGACCCTCGATGACCTGCCCTATCTTCTTGTCCTGCACATACTTTAGGGCATATCTTGTTCTGTAAAAAGGCATAAAAATCAGATAGATAAAACCCATAACAGCTATGGGATGGGACCGGGCCCCAACTCACTCCATCACTAGCATTGAACGCTGAGAGATACATGTACGCATACGCAATGCCTTGTAGACCTCCGTTTTGATGCGCCCCGGGACATGGATGTATGTGGAGCCCTCGGGCTTGCAGCCATCATTCTTGAAGGTGACAAAAACTTTCTCGGATCCAGGCCCAAAGGTCACATCGATGTTTTCAGGCGGTATCTTGGCCTCGAGGAACAGTTCCTTGATTTTGCGCGTGTACAGCTCCCCCATGATGCGGTCGGTGAAGGAGGTGAAGAATACGGTGCGGCAGGGATCCAAACCAGAGATTACCGCATACATATTGCGATCGCCGTCTGGCGTTGACTTTGACTGCACAAAGTAGTTGGGATAGAAGGCCCCAGCGATGACCACCTTGAGCATTAGAGCTCTCTCGCGATCATCGTTGATGCGTCGGTTGGGGAAGGATATCGACAGCAGGCCCAGTTTAGTGCAGCGCAGGCGCAGTTCCTGCACCAACAAATGCATTTCGCTCAACGCTCGCAACGAGAGCTGAAAGCGCTTGGCCCACTGTACAGATGCATCCTTTTGCAGGCTATTCTCGCACATATTCAAGTAGGTCTAAAAGAAGCAGAAAATAAACAGGAAATTTAGCATATAGCGAGTGAAAGAGTGAGTGAGTGGCTCACCATGTAGATGCGCCAAATGCCCACCAAATCGGAGCCAGAGCCATCGGCAAACACATAATGCATCCAATAATTGTCGTTCCTTTGGTTGGATCGCGAGCTGTCTATATAAACGCCACGCACGGTAATGCCAGCAGCTATAATGATCGTTTCCTCAACCAGATTGAACACATAGCCCAATATAATGAGTCGACTGAGGTGCGTGTCCAGCGGCAGCTTGGACATAATGGTGCCCCAATAGGTAATGTCACCATCCATGGGATCGTAGTCGCCATCGATGGTGGGGTACATGGCGCCCACTTCCTTGAGCATCAGTATGGTGTTGCAGATATCCGAGAGATTGGGCGGAGACAGGGCCAAGGCCAGCAGCTCCACCGGTGTGCCCATTTTCAACTCTTTGGCCTTGAGCACACAGTTCTGCAATGGTTTGCGCAGCATCTCCGGCACGCTGTACTCCGAGAGCTCTCGTTGATAGAATGATTTGGTGACCATGCGATAAACACGACCGTTCCGCAGACGACCAACGCGTCCGGCACGCTGGCGACAATTCGTCTTTGAGGCCCACACCAGTCGCAGGCTGCTAAAATTAGTCGACGTATCGGTGATCAGCACCTTCTCCAGGCAAAAGTCAATGATATATGACACATCCGGCACGGTAATGGAACTCTCGGCAATGTTGGTGGCCATTATGATCTTGCGATAGCCGAGCGGTGCTGGCTCAAAGATATCCCGCTGATCTTCGGGCGTCATCAGGGAATGGCAACGCACCATATTGATCTTCATGCTGGGACTGCAAAGATGGATACAAATATATGAGTTTGAAGGAAAATTGAGCGTTGAATTTACATACTCATGATTCACCATGTCCTTGAGCACATCTGCCATGTTGTTGATTTCCCCAATGCCGGGCAGAAAGATGAGAACGGAACCCTCGCGCAAGGACTGATTGTAGCTCTTGCCGGTACTTTTTTCGTTGCGTTCCATGTTGTCAATGACCAAAATGATTTTAATGGCTGATCTGTAGCCATGCTCGGTAATGCCGGGGCTGTCTATCTCCTCCATGTGGCCCTCCCAGTTGATGGATTGATGCAATTGATCGCGATAGTATTTATCCACCGAGTAGTTGCGTCCATGGCTGGCAGCGATTACAGGCGGCACAGAGCTCTTGGTGGCAAAATAATCAGAAAGCTCGCGTGGATCAATGGTGGCCGACATCAGAATGACCTTTACGTGACGCGAGTTTGTGGCCAGCAGGCGACGGATCACAATCAGCAGAAAGTCCATCTCTTGGTCACGCTCGTGCACCTCGTCCAACACAATGTGTGTGTAGTGGGTGAGTGTCTTGTTGGCAATGAGGCTGTTCAGCAGCACTCCCGTGGTACAATATAGAATTCGTGTGTCCGCAAATGCTGTACGTTGTCGATGGAGGCCAACCTGATAGCTGCACACGGTGCCCGGCTCCCATTTACGCTCCTGGGACACACGATTCGCTATGGACATGGCAGCAATGCGGCGTGGCTGGGTCACAACGATGTTGCAGTATTGTTTGCTCTTGAAACCCTCATCCAAAATATATTGCGGCACCTGGGCGGGAAAAAAAAAGAAAAGTGTTGAGTAACGGTTACATTTGAATAGTAGGAACAGAAGAACTAGTTCCATCAAATCGATGGCATAAACAGTACTGGAAAATTCCCGAACCGGCCATTTGGTTTCTTGTTTACATTTTTCATTGTGGAATGCGCGCAACAACTGAAATCGGTCTTTGATGGAGTTGAATGTGTACGACGACTGCTGGCTGCTGGTGCAACGTTTTAACCAAACAGCCAATGACGAGCAGAGCGGCGTGTTTGAGCTATTCTGCCGTTGCTGGCATGAGCTGCAACTGCAGCATCTGTTCTCCGCCCAGACGAACCACATCGAGATAATTGCCACCACATTGGCCGCCCTGCACGCGGGCAAGCGTATGGCCTGCGGCCGTCGCACCAATGGGCAACCATATCCCGCCGCTTCCCGCTACCAGCGCATTGCAGGATTCTATCTGATGTACGTGATCTACAACAAGCAGCCGACACATCATTTTGTCAAGATCGAGGTGTCACCAGCCACCTGGCAGAGCCTGTGCGACTATGCACTGCAGCTGCGCCGTGACAGCCCGGAACAGAAGGACACTCAGCAGGTTAGCTACTTCTTCTGGCGTCTGGTGCAGCAGCAAGCTTTCCGCTTCACGGCCTTGGACTATTGCCAGGGCCTGGATGCCTTGGTCCACTATGACAACGTGGAGAGCGTTGCGGGAGTCAGCAAGCAGAAGAAGAGCGAATTGCTTTTAAAGCAACACAGACCCAATAAGGTCAGCCTCATTTACGAGTTGGAGGACCTTAGGAACCTGGACCTCGCCAGCGATCCGCTGTGTAAACTGGAGACGGCCTACAACAGGCAGAAGGAGCAGCTGCTCGGACAAGAACAGACACTGCCGCCTACTCGGATCTTCAGTCACCTTCAAGAGGTCTTCAGTGACATACAAAATATTTTAGGACAGAACAAGAATCAGCAGAATGAGGACGTGCAGCCCACAACATCCAAGAATCACCAACTGGAGCTGCGTGAGCGTGTGCGCTACAAAGCCATGTATGGCAAAGAGAAGGAAGAACTCCCAAAGGCGGAGCAAGAGGAGGAGGAAGAGCCGGAGCAGGAAGTACAAGATCCATACCAACGACGCACATCGTCAGCCACTATATTCCTGCCGCAGCAACTGCCCAAGGAAGTGGAGCGAGAGTACGAAATGGATGATTACACCGAGGATGAGGAGGGGGAAGACAGTGAAGAGTAGGCGTAAATAATTAAAATCAGATTCTCAGCAAATATAACTGTAAAATTCTTTGCCAACTCGCAACAAAAACGAAATGGTACTCGTTCCAGGCTTAACTGAACGAACAAGTTCGTTCTTGGAACTACACATTTTTGTTGCTCACCTGCGTTGTCTTGCCGCAACCCGTCTCACCCTTCAATATCACAACGGGATTCTCATTGATGGCATTGATGATCTCCTCACGCTTTGCGTAGATCGGCAGACCTTTAACTCGATTCAGGTTGAAATTGTACCTTTCGTAAAACTCGGCATCGGTGCGAATATTGGGAGACGCTTCGTTCTCATCATCGCTGTCCAAGTCGTCGAGGGTCTTATTACGCTTTGACGCCATGTCGTCGCAATCGAATAACTGTAAAACAAACAAAAAGTTTACGAAACTGCAAATGCAGCATTTTTATGTTTCGCCCCCCTCTTACCCCATCCATTCGCTGCTTCTCTTTGTCCACGAATTTCTTAACATATTCTTTGCCCACAATCTCGCGCTTGATCGGATTTTTTGATTCGAGAGAATCTGTCTCAAAAGCGTGTACATCGCCCGACACATGGCCGCGCGGGGCTTCTTCTCGCACGAACTCCTTCGAAAAGTCGAAGAAATCCATTAATTGTTGATCCATTTTGGTGTACACACGCGTTTAAAACACAATATTCTAAAAATAATCTCGCCGCGTCGAAATCAAACGGTAAAAAGACGTGTGACCGTGCGACAGCAAATGCCAGTGTGACCGCGGAATACCGACAAAATATACCGTTAGTGGTATTTTCATCTTTCAAATATACCGGTATATTCATGGAGTGGTATATTTTGGTATCTTTTTGAGGGTCAGACGCAAACAGTGAAATTAATAACAAAAATCTGTAAAGTAAATTTCAGCTGAACCGGGCCGCAGACATGTCGCTTACTATGCGAATTTTCACAGCATCGCGCAATGGTTAGTGGTTGGCAGTAAGCTTGCCTTGCACTCAAAGCATACCCGACAATTCCATGGGCATCCGCATTGAGTGTGGTTATGTAAGCTTATGTCATAGCAAAACAAAACAAAGGACCAAAGCGGCCAATAATTGCTCCGCGGAGGCTCCCAAAAGTGCACAGTAATAACGAGATGTCTCCCCCACAGGTCAGCGCATGTTTGGCACCAATGGCGCTCGCTTGTTCGCCGCCAACCGGACCGAACCCAAAGACATTGTTGAAGTGGCCAAGGGCTATGTTTATGTGAACAACAAGGAACTGAGCATGGAGATGGAGGACATCACCGACCGGGCGGCCACAACTATGTTCTTTGGCGAGCTCTTCCGCGGCTTTGGCGTCACACTGGCCCACATCTTCAAGGAGCCGGCCACCATCAACTATCCGTTCGAGAAGGGGCCGCTGAGTCCTCGCTTCCGTGGCGAGCACGCCCTGCGTCGCTATCCCAGCGGCGAGGAGCGTTGCATCGCCTGCAAGCTGTGCGAGGCCATCTGCCCCGCCCAGGCCATTACCATTGAGGCCGAGGAGCGTGCGGATGGCAGCAGACGTACAACGCGCTACGACATCGACATGACCAAGTGCATCTACTGTGGCTTCTGTCAGGTGAGTGGGGAGTCACAACTTGTGCATTGGGCAGCCCGGATTCGTTGACTTTTTGCTTGCAGGAGGCATGCCCAGTGGATGCCATTGTCGAGGGACCCAATTTCGAATTCTCCACAGAGACGCACGAGGAGCTGCTGTACAACAAGGAGAAGCTGCTCTGCAACGGCGACAAATGGGAGTCTGAGATTGCGTCCAATCTGCAGGCGGATCATCTCTATCGTTAATGTTGGCTGTACATATTAGAATCCTTTGTTTAGAACGATTTTCCAATTAAAATATCGTTGCCGTGGCTGCGTCTCAATAGACAATTTTGTTATTGTACAGTGAATACTGCATAAAAGAGCGGGCGGAACGCTATTAAATGATTTATGTATGAAATTTGTGTATATGGAGGTGAACGCCCTTTCACCACCAATACTGCGGAGTTTGCAATTCGATATTGGAATGGAACCGGAACGGCTCTACTGTCCCGGGCCAGCCAGGCTCTTCTCCATGAACTTCTTCTTGGCAAAGCTCGTCCACCACTTGTTTGGCTTGCCATCCTCCGTGTTAAAGACCTTCTCCACCACACGATTGCCGGTCTCGTGGCGCAGCTGCAGCAGATACTGACGCATCAGGTCCGAATCCTGTGCCGTTTGGGGCTTGGCATAGACGGCGTTCAGGGGGAAACCAGCGTCGCCGGGTATGTCAAACTTGGAAATGGCCAGGCTATACATATCCTGCTGTCCCTGGTTCTTGTTGGTGCATCGATTAAGCCGCTTCAGACATTCGGTTATGTACAGCGTCACATAGATGAGAACGCGGTCCACCTCCGACTACAATTTGACAGAATTTAGTCAATGTTTATGGTAGATATTGCCAGTCCTTACTTTGATTTCGTATGTGCGGAAGAATACATTGGCTTTGAAAAAGTATAGTGACTCATCAATGATGTCGTTCTCCACATTGGCACTGGGCGCTGGTCCACGCACCTGGGTACGTAGGGGCAGGATTGCCATGTTGCCCACCTGCTGGGGGAACTCTTTGATTTGGGAGTGGTAGGCCTAACAAAGAAATTAAATCATTAAGTGTACGTAGATATCAGTTTCGTACGCCTTGCTTTGCAGGGGGGCGGCATTTCTAGAAAATCAAAGCAAAACACACACAGATTCTCCGGCAGGGTAGCCTTGGGACAGCGCAACGCACTCACCGGCATGGTATTTATGTGAAAACTGCCGTATGATTATAAATATAAACAATTTTTAATGTTTTTTATTAGAGGTGTCAAACAATCGAGGGCACAATCGATAGTATCGATGTTTTGCTTCAATCCGCTAGTATCGACAGTTTTTATATTATTTTGAGACTGATATTTTGAGAGTATGAATAAACGGTTTAATTTTGAACAATCTTTGTATAATTTTGTTTAAAAAATAGCGTTGAATAGCATTTTTTAGTAATAATTATTTGAGCTCGATACTATCACGATAGTATCGATTATTTTTTAAACATGCAAAACTATCGATTGTTTAACTGTTAATCCCATCACTGCATCGCTTTGACTGGTATTTGTATCGATAGAGCCCATCGAAAAGGACCCATCACCACTTTGACATCTTTTTCGTGTGAGCCGGCGCGGCTGAATTTTCGTTTTCATTTCTTTCCTCGAATTTGTCTGAAAAATGATTGGATATAAGTCTGTGCGTATTCGCATACTTGGTGAAATGAATATAAAAAAGATTGAACACCAAATTATTGAATACAAGCGCACAAACAAGGAAGCTCAGCAAGCAAAACCGTCGTTACTAGCAGCAGACTTGGGCGAAACTTTGAGGCGACTTCCAAGCGAGCGCGAATATTTCAATATTTCTGACGAACTGGCACGCCTTCGCGAGGAACGCGAGGACGAGCACGATGAAGATGAAGCTGATTCGAATGAAGAAGACGAGAATAACGACGAAACAGAAGAAGAAGACAATGAGAATGACGAGGACGAAAATGAGGAAAGTGATGAAGAAGAAGAGACAATCGCAGTAAGTATTAAGCATATCGCGTCGTGTGAATGTGAATAATTATATCCCTGTGTCCTTGTGTCCAGGAAATGCCCCGCCACTATATCGACGGACAACGACTCAACCCCAATCCCTTCCACTCCAGAGTGCTCATGTTCGCAGCACAAGAACCACTGGCTGGTATGGATTCACCGAGATTTGTGATTCAGAGTCAATATCCAACATTTGACACCTCACCGCGTGAGTGGTATTACAATAGATGGTTGTTGGGGGACGAGGGGAATGTAATTACTGCAAGTGCAGATAGAAATCGTTATCGAAATGCACCTGAAGCGGACGAACCGATCGGGAATGATCCGGCATATCAACTCTGGAACAGAATGCGACAGGCAGGATATGTAACCAGTGGAGATGAGCCGACAAGCCAAAATATCCCACAGCAAATCATTGATCCATTGGATCAACTCAGGGTCAGGGTGTTGCCCGATATGCAAGTGCCGGCAGGAAATCCTGCGACTCAAAATCAACAGAATCATTACTCCCCAATTGGACAGTACTATTCTCCAGCCAGATATGAGTCTACAAATACAACCGGCACCTATACCCATACCAGATATCTAGTAAATCCCAACAGCGGAGAGGTGTATGGAATTACATATCCATTGTTTCAATGGGCTCCAAGCCCCCTCCAAGCTGCCCCGCCAATGGGAGCGCCTGCATACCAAACACTGGATCCAAACACTGCATATCCAACCTCAGGAAATCAGTTTAATTATGCAGCCAGCGATAATTTATCATATTCTACAGCAAACACTGGATACTATGAGCTGGAATGTGATTGCATGCCTGAATCGTATCATCTTCCATCCTATCAGCCTCCGTCAGAGCGATTTCCGAATACACCTTGGCAGATCTATCAAGTACCCAGCGTGGAGTCTGGAGCTCCATGTACTTCCCAACTGCAGCCTTGTCGTGGAAATGCAGCTTTTCAGGTCTATCCAAGCTCGTATCCAGCACAGGACTATCAAACTTGTTCTTGCCGTCCATGTGCTGCTTGCCAACCGTGTGCTGCTTGCCAACCATGTGCTGCTTGCCAGCCATGTGCATGCAGCCAGCAGCAGTGTTCTCAATTCGCTGCTGAGGATGGGGCTGCTGCTGCCACAGCCCGTGGCTTACTAACAGGCAGAGAGTATACTACGTTCTCTCCATCGGGACACGTTGTACCGCGATCCTGGTATACGCAAACGTATTTGGCCTGGCAACAGACTGCAGGGCAGTCCCCAAACCAATATGCACCCAACGGACAGGCTGTAGCTAGAACCGTGTATGAGCAGCAACCATATCAAACAAGTGATCCGGCTACAATTGCACCCACAGAGCTCGCCAATGGTCAGCCACACTTGCGTGGTCCCTATGAGCCGCTGCTAGCCCATCGCCTGGCCAATGCCGTGGAATATGGCCTGTTCACTGCCGACGACGACGGACCGGATTCCATGATGGCGAACGATGTCCTAGATCAGATAATAAGACTGCGACCCAATTTTATGGAGCCCAACAATGCCAGCAGCAACAATGTACAGAATCAAATGACTGCATCGCCTTTTTCGCCACTGGACCAGCGTGAAGCGAACGCCAGAGAAGAGCAGAAGATGCTCTGGGACGTCAGTCAGCGTCGCGGCAAATAAAACTAATTCAAAGGTGACCCCCAAAACGCTACAGCTAGATAACGCCAAACAAACAAACATTAAAAATGTAAAAAATGGTTTCTAAAACTACTTAGATTTACATGTTTCCTTATTTGTAAAGACAACCCCACGTTGTATTAATCAGAATCAGAATTATTCCAATTTCGAATTTCTGACTGTAATTTTTTTTTGTCGAAAGAAAAATGGCGAAGAATAATAAAAAGAAGTCGAAATCGATTCCAAAGCAGAAGGTATATTTTTGGTTCATTTTTAATGAATATAAACATTGTATTCCCCTTTTAGGCGGTGTCCAAGGGCGCCGTTGAAGGAAAAGCTGACCAGGCTCAGCCACCAGCAACAGCCGTCGTGCAAGAGGCTGACGAGGAGCTAGCTCTGGCCCAGAATCTTACTGCCGCCACTCTAGATCACAAGACGGATCAGCAAACGGATTTTTCTACGCACTTTGGGGACATGTCGGCCATTGCGACAATGTCGCTGCTGGTTCATCAGCAAATCCAACGCATTCGAGTGGTCAAGGAGCAAATTTTAGAGCTGCACAATCAGCAGGGTGTACTCCTCGAGGGCCTAACCAACTATCTGGAAAAACTGCGTTCCGCTAAGCACACGACTAACGCAGACGGACAGATAATTGCAAACACATTCGAGACTGTAAATGCGCAGTTGGTGGATATTTTCAGTCACTGTTTGCCATCGCTTTCGCAGCTGAAAGAGGAGGGTATTGAAGCAGCACCCAAGTAGCTTTAAATTTAACGGAATCAAATTTTAAAAATGAACACTACCACGCCAACTATAGCGTTTTTATGGCAAATAAATATGCAGCGCCACTAGTGCCTTTTTGTCGCAGCTTGTTTCACGATAGTATCGATATTTTTATCGAAGGACTGCCATCAAATTCAAACTGGATTTCAATTAGTTACATTTTTCATATTGATATTGACTTAAAAATTCTTGAAAATACTAAGACAGGTTATCCACATTAATCACTCAATTCTTGGGCCTCCACATCGCTGTCCACATCGGGCCCATCATCGCTCAGATCCTCCTCTTCGTTGTCCTGCGACTCCTCGGGCACGCCCAACAGAAGACGCTTTCGCTGCAGCAGGGCGGACCAGTTGAGGCGGGTCTCGCACAGCGGACAGTCGCCACCAATGGGTATGTATTGGCCAGGCTCATCGCCCAGCAGATAGCTGCCGAGGCACAGCATGTGGCAGGTCAATCGGCATGTGGGATTGGTGCAGCCGAGGCGGGAACGCTCCGGCTGATCGATGCGCTGCATGCAGAGATGACACTCGGGAGCCCACGCCACAGGCGGAGCAGCGGATGCCTCCTCCAGTTTGCGCTGCGAGGCGGTGATGGACACCTTTCCGCTGACAATCTCCATGTGGCAGGGTATCGGCAGCTCGAACGCGCGCTCATAGTCCGTTTCCAGCCAGCGGACGGTGAGTGCCAGACGATGCCACGGTCCCAGGCCCAGCATGCGATTGAGGATCCGAAAATTGTAATCAAAATGCGTCTCCTTGGGCTTCTTGCGCTTCAGATCGGGAAAGATCTTCAGGCGGGTGGACAGCGTCGGCTGCTGCCAGGCCCACTCGAACTGCAGGGCCACGATATTGTTGGGAAAGCCATGCACAATCATGACCATCTGCCAAGGTCCCTTCTTGCTGGTCTTCTTCGCTCCACCGAAATCGCAGCCACGATTATGCTGCTTGATCCGTCGCTTGGGATTGACGGTGAAGCCAACATAGCATTTTCCGCGATAGCGCGAGTCCAGGCTCTGGCTGCACAGCAAATAGACGCCATAGAAGTGTCCCTTGTGGGCGATGGCTTCCTCTTCATGTGTGGCTGTGAATGCAGGGATTAAAATGCGGATTACTAAGGCGATTCTTTTCAGTACCAACAAAAGGAGACGACTAGAGAGGCGGGGTGGGGTAGTATTGACAGCTAAGGAGCGACTTTTAGAAGACTTATGACTAATTTATTTTGTTAACTTTCAATTGCCATCGTTAATTTAATTCTAATTTGATGTTCGACGCTGTGGCCAAGCCATTGATTTGTTGCTGCTGCTGCTGCTGTTGTGGAATCACTGCCTGCGCCGGGCCAGGCACCGAGGCGCCCGATGGCTGTGCCTCTGCAACGGATGCCGTGCCATTGCCATTCGCAGTGGCCATCATACCGCCCGTGGCTGCTGCCTCGCCAGCTGTGGCCGCTTCGCCACCATTGCTTTGTTGTAGTTGTTGCTGCTGCTGTTGTTGTTGTTGCTGCTGCTGCTGCTGCTGTTGCGCTGCCGTGGCATTCTCCATGAGTTTGATACGCTTCCTGGTGTAGTGCTGCCACTGGAGTATGGCCTGATCATCGATGAACTTGCAACATTGCGAGTTGACAATCTCCCGGCGAAAGTGTTCGTATTGCAGGAGATCCAGGAAGTATAGGCACATCGGGTACATGAGGTATTTGGCATAGTCCGGCTCCTTCCAGTACTGCAAGTACTTTAGATAGTTGATGAACGATTGGTCCTTGAAGTAGCCACGTTGGGCCAGGACTAGAAATCAACAAACTATGCATATAGAAATAGTAGAATTATATTTCGATTGACTTACAGTTGAGATAATTTGGATTGGAGAGGCACTGCACAAACTCGAGTTCTATTTGCCATCGTCGTTTCTGCTGTTCTTCGGACTCTATGGCAGCTATGGAGAGGATAATAATAGCCATTAGACAGGTCACACAGGAGTAGTTTTTGTTAAAATAATATACTTTAGAGAGGCATGCCTGCGGGTATCGAATCGTAAAGCGTGTCAGTAGATGTTAACATTTAAGTATATTTATGTTAGAATTTGTATGTGTGTTGTTTTTGGCGTGTACTTACTCTTACCCTTTCCGTACATTTTTGCCATTTTGGTGGTTGTGGAAAGGGTCGTCGTCTCGTTGTCGGTGTTTTTGCGTTTATTCAGTTTCAGTCTCAGTTTTGTACTGTTTCTGTGTGCTACTATATGGATGTGGCTGTGGCTGTATGTTCTTGTGCTTCATCGAAATTGAAACGAAAATGTACAATAAACAATAACACACAAAATATAATTCACAAAAAAAAACAAGAATGTATGATGGCAGAGGAGGAGGGCGGGCATACAAAAGAGAAACACTAATTGTGAAACAAAAGCGAACCGACACAGGGGCGGCACTCAAAAATATCAACTCGTCTACGGGGCACTGGCGGTATGGCTGTCGCTCCTTTTGTGTTGGTGATTTCTTGTGGTAAAGCAGTTTAAATTAATTTTTTAGTTTCTGTCTACAAACCGTAAGAGTTCATTTGTTGGGTGGATTGCAGTGTGACCGCTGCCTTATCAAATAACCCGTCTGACCCTCAGAAATGTACCAAAATATACCTTATTAGTTTTAAAATATACCGTAAATATACTGAAGAAAAAAGGACTTAGCCCACTTAACCCCCCACTATTTAAACAGTGAAAACTCTTCAATTAAGCCGCGTAGTACCACTAACCATACAGTATATAGATGTGCCAGTTCATACAACGAAAGGGGCGCAGCTGAAGTTGCTGTCCCAGCACCCCCAGGTCTTCGGCTAGGGTGCTGGGACCATTCGGCTGTGGTGCTGAGACGTTCGGGTCGTGGGCCTGAGACGTTCGGCATTTTTTCGACATGTTCGATTCATGACGAGATGCGAAAGCAAGCTGAGAATTGCAAATGTATGTGTGTAAACAGACACGACAAAATTTTGTAACAATTCTTATTTTCCGAAACAGTTTTGAGTTTGTTTTGAGTTTCGTTTCCAGGTTACGTAAATGTGTGTGTGCCATGTATTCACACATACTGTGCTTGTGTGTGGGCTCTACAATTGTTGGCCGCTTGAATTGGTTTTTCGTTTTGTTTTGAGGGAACTCGGCCATTCCCAGAGCCGAACGCGGCCATTCCCAAAGCCGAAGATCTGGGAACGTACGCTGCAAACTCAGCTGCGCCCCTTTCGTTGTATGAACTGGCACATCTACATATATACTGTATGGTTAGTGGTAATATATTCTGCGGCTAAAATCAAGGTGTTCATCAGTTTAAATAGAGCGGCGATAAGTGGGTTAAGTTTTTTTTCCTCGGTATATGTACGGTATATTTTGGTATATTTCCACGGTCACACTGTTGTCTCTACACTAGCGTTGATTTTGTTAAAATTTTCAAACAAACTGCTCAGAAAACTGGGATTTTGTCAGAATAAACATATCCTATCGCATTCAAACAACTGTACGAGCAGATTTCTACAAAGCAAACAAAAAGTTACTTGGAAAAGTAATCAAGCCGATAGAGCTCACCTCTCGATCTGAGAAAAGTGCGCGTGTGTTAGACATTTTCACGCCTCAGCGTGGGAAAATACATTTTTACGCCTCAGCAGAAATTTGAAGAACGCTAAAAGGAGTCGGAAAAGTAAGTACAAATAAAATTACACTATTCTAGAGAATATATATAAGCACAGAAGAATAGGCGTGACCCCATTTAAAGCAATGAATCAGCCTCGCCTCCCACGAGTGTCTTTGTTGTTGCACCTATAAATAGAATACAGTAGAGTCTCATAAAACACAACCCTCTTATGGCTGATAATAAAAGTGGTGCACACATGTCGAGTGCACTCTGTCTTTTCTGAATGTCCCAATGCACGGCTGCAATTTTGATAGCAGCTGCAGATTTATTGATGGATTGAGAGACTCTTCGTTCGCGTGAGCTTAGCGTTTATGGCCGTCAGCTGCCTTTTTGCAATTTGTGTACCTGTAACTGTATCCTTTGCCTGTTACATCGTTTTCTACCTGATGTAGTATAAAAAAGATTCCTTATTTCATTTCAGTTGCAAACCAAGTTTCAACCTCAACGCACATACAGTCCAACTGTAAACGGAATTCAGTGATCGATAAATATAAATCCAGGAAACCAAACCAACAAAGTTGCAGAGACATTAATTAACCACAAAATAACACAAAGAACAAACTGAAAATGGTTCAGACCGGAATTTCGTTAAACGAACGCTTCACACAGATGCAGTCCAGACAGAAGCAGGAGCAGCAGCAGGCAGTCAATGGACGTGGACGTCGGAGCCGCTCTCAGAGCCAGAGTCGCAGCCGCAGGATTGTGGACAGCAATGCGGCTATTCCAGTTGTATCGGCAGCCAATTCTCGTCTGCTGCAGGAGTTCAAACGGAAGCACACCGTGCAGACGGCCCTCAAACTGAAGCGCGTACGTTTCCCCAAAACCAAAATACAAACAGACAAGCCATGACAGATCAGATCCACAAGATATCATACAACTCTGGGACTGTGCTCTATGAGGCAGCAGCAGAAGCAGTAGGAGCAGCAGCAGCTTGATATATAATTGACTTGGCCAGGAAAAGGAGAGTCGGACAATGGACGACAATCATTGACAAATAGGAGCGGAACGCCTTCTGCGTTGTTCCAGGCCACACAGTCGATATGGGTTTTGAGTGTCCTGTGTGTGTGTGTGGGATGTGTCTCTGTCGGTTAGTCCCTCCTGTTGTCCAGCCAACGCCAACTCAACGCAGACTCCCAAGACTCTAGACTCTCTAGAGAGACTTTCAAACTAAAACCTGAACTCGAACACGCTCGCTGTAGAACTCCCAAAAAACACAGATGCTGCGCGCTCCTTCAACTCCGATTGTAATCAAACAAAAAAATCCATCCACAAACCTTATGCATCCTTACAGAGAAGCTTACGGAACACTGGCGGCGTCGTACGCGGAGCACGCGTGGGCGGCATCAAATCGGTGCGCCTGGCCCCCAATGGAAAACCCATGCGGTCAAACAATGTAACCCGGGTAGCAACGTAAGAATCCTCGACTATAACCAATGGCCAGACACCCACTGCAATGAAACATCTCTGTACATCTTCTGCTTCTACATATCCGCTAACTGTGCAGGATGCGTGCTGATCTCATCGCTAACAGCAATCTGACACGTCGTCGCAGCGGCAGCACAACCCGTCGCTCCTCCTCGGCCGTGGGCGGACTTCGCCAACGACTGGGCAACCGTCGGCCCTCTGTGGGTGGCGCCTCCGAGCGTGTGGAGCGACATCAGCGCCAGCTGATTAAGCAGCAGCAGCAGCAGTATCATCTTCAGCAGACCCGTGGACGCTCACGCAGCCGTTCACGTTCTCGCCTTCCCCAAGTGAGCGCCCGCAATGATCGCTCTCGCTCGCAGAGTCGCGGACGCATCGCCGGCCCTCAGTTCAATCGCACACGCTCTCAGAGTCGCACTCGTGGACGTGAACGTCGCCAGCAGTCGGGTACTAGGGCTGGACAACAAACACCCCGTGTCTCGGTCAAGCAGCGTCTGGGCGTGCGTCCAGGCCAGGGCAGGGCTGGTGCCGGAGCTGGAACCAGAGCGGGAGCCAACCAGGCCAAGAATCAGCGCCGTGCATCGAGCAAACTACGTGGCGTGGCGAGCGGGCGGGTGGAGAAGCGTCGCAATGCCAATCCTCCGCAGAAGGGAGTTTCAGCTTCTCTCGCCGGACGACGAGGACGTCCACGTGGAAGGTAAGTTATCTTGCATCAAAATCATGAAAAATCAAATAGATACTAAGACAACCTTTGCCTTTACAGATCTGCTGCTAGGGTCGCTGCTGCTGCTGGGGGAGGTGCTGCTTCGGGCTCCAATGCAGCCTCCACACGTCGCTCGCGCTCACGCAATCGACCTGCTGCCGCTGCTGTCACTGCTGCCGCCGCTACCCCGGGAAGGGCCAACAATACACGCAACCGCCGAGGCCGCAGCGCTGGCGCTGCCAAAGGTTCGGGTGCCAAGGGGGTCGCCGCCAACAAAAATGGTAACAGAAACAATAGCAAAAGCAATGCCATCAAGGGCAAGACCAACAAGGGCCGCGCAGGAGGTGGAGGTGGTGGCAAGCCAGGGCCACAGCAACAACAGGCTCGTCGGGGGCGCAGTCGTACTCGTACTGGTCGTCAGGCTGCAGGTAAAAGCGTTACAAGTCATGAGGCGCACAGCTAAATGGACACCCCAACTCGAACCGGAGGCTCTGCTGCAGCTGAACTTGGAATTTCTCTCTATACTTTTTATTCGCATTTCTGTTCCATTCCATTCTAATCGCATGACTTTCTCGTACTCCTAGGCAAAGGCAAAGCAGGCCCACGTGGAGAGGTCAAACGCGAGGATCTGGATAAGGAGCTGGATCAGTACATGTCCACCACCAAATCGGAAATGGACTATTTGCTAAAGTAAACTTGACTCGTCGTTCGACCAAAGAAGTAGCGGGAAGTATCAAAGGACTATGAATGAAAGAGCGCAAGCAACCACCGGCTTAAACAATTTATGTTTCTCTTAGTTTAATAAGTTACACAATAAGTTTATAATTATCTTTAATCAGATATGTACAATTAAAAAAAGCGCTGCCAGAAGCACGCAGACATATATGTTCTCTAAAAGAAAAGCCTAATTTTGTTGTAAGTTTTTCGTGTAAATATACTATGACATAATATTGTAAGTAAATCAAACTATTGAAATATTGAAAGCTTGTTCTCGATGTTAATGTTAAACGCATTTTCCCGAAATACAAACTTATTCATTGCTCAACTAGAATGAACGAAGACTTTTTAAGGGTTTTCTTTGGGCATCCACCTCCCTGAAATCAAGAATCGCATGTGTGCACGCCCCCATTTACGCCCCTTGCCATTTTACACATTCCCATCGATTCCCATCTTGTGGGACCTAAAGATAAATCTATTTATTTTCAAGTCACTTTTTTTGTGTGTTGATTTTTATTTCCCTCCTTTTTAGTCCGGTTTTTTCTTTTGTCTTCTCTTTCATAGCCCCCACGTTTTTTCCCAGAACTTGAGTGAATATTTTTAATTTCTGTGATTGATTGCAGTTTGTGGCCTGGGGAAGTGGGGTTTCCAGGTAGTCAGTGGTATCTGTGGATTGGATTTGGCATTTTAATTAAATTTTCTCCAGATCTCCCGAGTATCTGTCTTTCACTCTCTGTGCAGGAGTGCACAACTTTGTTGGTGAAAATGCATTTAGTTGGTTTGCTCAAGCCATTAATTGAATCTCAATCAGTTTTCCAAGTCACCAGCTCAATCTTAATCAGAGTCTCAAGCCACAAACTTAATCTTAATCGGACACGAAGAATACCTTAAGCAGTCTCTTTTGCAAACCACTAACTAAATCGTAAGCAGAGCTTGTAAGCCATTAAGTAGCTGAACATGCTACAACAACTAGACAATCCGATTAGTTGTCAATGCTAATCAACCGCAGACCCCCCGGCCTAATGTCCGTCATTCCATACGCCCATCCAAAACTAAACCCAAACCCATACCCGAACCGAACACAAACATCCGAAAATGGAAGGCAATCCGCTAATTAACACAAAATGGTCATTTGTTTCGCCTGCTAATTGCCCTGCCCAGCCCTGCCCTGTCCAGGATGTGCATATTACACCTTCAGGAATTCCAGATGCTGGTAGGTAGCCTCTCCGTCATTAACCCTTTGTCGCCTGTCAGCTGTTTTGGCGAGCATTTAACAATTTATAAGTAATTAGGAAATGTTGCTTTAGCAGCGCCTAATTAGACAATTCAATTCCCAGTTTCGTAGAAATTATGAGGGAACAACCACCCGCCCCAACGACCTTTCTCCTATTTTATTTATTTTAGGGATCTTCTTTTTTTCTTACCTTAGGGTTTATCTGGGTTCAGAGCCCACCCCTTCTGCCTTTCGGCAACATGTTGCCAAATGGTATTCTATTCTTTTTTTCAGTCCCTCATGTTGACAGTGTCTACCAGGGTACTCCAATCCTATACCATCCAATTCGGGGCGCCGTTCACTTTGTTGCCATCAAAGTGAAGCCCTCAATTTGTCAGCGTTGGCAGCTGTGAATGGCTCTCGGGCTCTCCTGGCCTGGCTAAAGTAAGTAAATAACCTGGCCATCAGCGGGGGCCCCAACTTGAAGCTGTCGCGGACTTGAACTTGTGGGTGGTGGTAGGGTCCTGGGTCTCTTTCTAGCAACGTCTCCCCAGGCAAAAACCAATTTGACTAATCTGCGCAAAGCACACGAAAAAGGTGGCAAAGCCATGACTGGTCTTCGAGTCCTTCCATCCTTGTCCTTTTTCGGATTACAAGATGGAGGGGGTGGGAAGGGAGCGAAAAAACCCATTTTGCGGTAGTTGATTCGTTTGCCGAATGCCCAAGTTAAAACTACACAGTTGAGTGGTCCCATAACCTTTGCTCTCCCGATTTATACATAAATTCCAACCAGAGATTTGAGGCACATATTTACATTTGCCGTACTAATGATTAGAAGAAGAGATGGTTAAGGTGTTCTTCTCGAATGGGAGCTTACAAGCCAAATCCTTTTATCAATTACATACATGACTGGGGAAGACATTTGTGCGCGTAAGAGTATACGGTTTGGGCCACACGTGCAGCACTGACAGCAAACAGCAAACAATGAGTGCAAGAAAAACACAAGAATCGTGCCAAAATCAACAACAACAAAAAAAAAAAGCCAACTCAACCCGCTGTCCATCACGCATACGCCCTGTTGCCGATGTGTTGTTGATGTTTGGCTGCTTCCTGTGCTGCTGCTGCTACATTTGTTTGTACTATTTAGAGGCAGACACCCAAAAATCAGCCTTCACTTTGAAGTTTATGTTTAAGCACAGGGTATTTGTATGGATAGAAGGGTATGCGTTTTTTATGGTTCGTTTAAGCGCAGAGATCTCGAAGCTAGAGCTAAATATAATCGTAATTGTAGAGCTTTTTTATATGATTCCCAAGTATATTCTAATATTTCTTTGCCAGCATTTATTTCCTTGCTGCTTAGCCATTTGTGCTTTTTCATGCCGAAAATGCTGTCTGGAACACAAAATAACATTTACCCCAAATGACATTTCTATTGTAATGAGTGGAGAAACGCGACTCCTTCGCCGTTGCTTTCCCAGGCTCTGCCACACTTGGTTGCGGCTAATGAAGCGGTAAAGTGTTGAATGACAGTCTGTCTGTGGCACACCACAGCACACCACACACCACACACCACCAAATACATATATTATGAGTACGAGTATGCCTGAGTTAGGGTGTGTGTGTGTGGCATAATAAATAAGTTGAATGTCTTTCTTATGGAAAATGTGCTCGTATAAACGAACAATTGAGCGATCTCAGCATTTTTGTGCCTGTGATTTGTGTGTGGAAAGGCAGACAATAAAGCAGGCACACATTTAAATAAATTGTATTAAGCAGGAGGACCGAGAACCAACAAATTGCCAACCTTAAGATGTTAATCAACGCACTTAAAGCGCAGAAAAGAAAAGACAAGTGCATGCGGCAGGAGCTAGGAGCTCGTAGCTCTCTTTTCTCTAAGGAGGTAAAATGCCGGCGGTGCAATCAATTTCACGGTGAACCACAGACCTTGCTCTCTCTCTCTCAACTCTCAACTCTTGTGGCTATATCTGCTCTAAGCCATAAACAACCGTCAGTCAGTGGCAACTTAATTGTAAAAACACAACTTTGTTGTTGTCAGGCTCTGCTCTGCTCAGCCACTAGCTTCTGGCCTTGGCGACTGGCTTTCGTATCGCGTTAGCGGTCTTAGCCGCCTTCTGCTCGTGCTGGCTCTCCTACTGCAAGATATGCAACAGAGGGAATTTGTCAAGGCACTGGCAACTGCAACTTAAAGCAGTCTTCGGCACTCTGTTTCAGTTCCAGTGCCTTCTCCATCTCCGATTTCCGCTTCAGTTCACTTGACAAACCCACAGCAGCAACAAAAAAAAAGAGAGAGCATCAAATGGGGTAAGGAAAATCAAAAGAAAATGATTTTTTGGGGGCTGGTGAAAAACTTTCGTCCCATGAAAGCATTCGAATTGCATTAAATTCATGGCAATAGTGCAATTTTCATGGCATTTATGAGAGAACACAGGAACAACCACACGAGAGCCCAACCCCATCTACCATGAACCCCCGCATGCGATTATTGAAGCTGTATCCAAAGTTTTGGCATGGCTGTCAAGCATACCGATGTTCCATGTATGGGTTTTATCTCAAACTTGTGTACTCGTGTGGGTGTAAAGAGCAAAGGGGATAGTGAGCGAGGGAGCGAAAGAGAAAAGAAAGAGGGAGAGTGACAGAAGTTAGTGGGAGCTAGTGCGCTTGTGACGTAAAGCACTTAAGTCCCGCCTAACACTCACATATCTTGATTAGATACGCCCCAGGCAGGCCTGTGCTATTGGTCTCTCTCTCTCTCTCTGTTTCTGTCTGTTTACCCTCTCTGTCTTTCGGTTTGCGGCTCTGCAAATGCAACCGACGGCATTGTCATTCCGGTACTCTAAGCTCGGCTCCCACTCTCACAAAGGAGAGGGGAGGGAATTGTATGCCGGAATTGTTGCTGAAAGTAAACACATCCTGGAGTACAATATTAAGTGCATATTTGTTTGTCATTTCGTGTGGTGTCGGTGGTGGGAAACTTTGAAAAGGCCAAAGCCTTTGTTTCGATGTCCTGAGGCAAGTTTATCGGTGGGTGGGCTAAACTTTTCGCTATGAAATGTGCGGGCAGCAGCTGCTTAAAGGAATCTAATTCATTTGAGAGGTATGATATATAGATAAAGCTTGCTTCATCAGAGATTCTGTAGCTGCTCAGCATTGAAAATAATTGGCAATACTAAAAGAATAAAAGTTGGAGGAAACACAAAAGGAAACTTACATGTTTCATGTTTCCCAAAGATCTTTAGCAAAATAAGCTCCCAGTTTACTTAGCCAAAAAAACACCCCAAAACTACCTCATGGAACAAGAATTTCCACTCCACAACATCATTACCACTGGCAAAAAATTGAGTCATTCGAAAGAAAGAGAAAACATTCTTACAGAGAAATAGTATGTATATTTCCATTTAATGTATATTATATATCAAGTATTGCATTTAACATTAAACTTATACACTATATAGACTTACACAGACATACACAGGAAGAGGGAACTAATGGGGAACAGCAATGCTGCCTGGACATTGGAATAGGCATCGAGTGGGTAGGTTATGGAGGGGCTCATGAAATTGTATTCCGTACTAATCGAACTATCAACTAATCAAACTATTTAGAGGCTTAGCATTCTAATGACTAACAAACACAGCTGCTACACAGGTAATTTCAATAGGTTTCTCAATGCTTTTTCAACTCACTTAAGTTATACATTAATTTTAGTATTATTTTCCTTTAATGATTTATATTTATGTTTAGTTTAGGTTAGGCTTATCTCTACAAATACAGTGTGTTGTTGTTGCGTTGTTTAAAGCTAGAAAAGGTTTGGCATGGAAATGAAAACACAGGTACAGTCACTTCATCATAAAGCACACACTATCTAACTCTCTCTCTCTCTCTCACTCTCTATTCCTGTTGGTCTTTCTTCTTTCTCTATTTATCTCCTGCCCTCTGTCATACAATGATATGATGAGTTTTCTTTTAAGTTAAAGTTTTGTTATGTTTGCTTTTGCTGCAGGTACAAAAGCCATCAATTGTTGTCGCATTGATTGTGTGTTTGGAGTTTTGTTTAGTTCTGCATGCCTGCATCACCCTGTAGTTCGCTGCTAATAA